GGGGGGGTGGGACTTTGCAGGTATTTGTTTTGTGTACGCGCGGCAAAGTTTGTAGTTTCTGATACACGCCACCCTGGATTGCTCAGCCTTGTCATCTTCTTGGCGGATGCCGGTCAGCATATATAGCCCTCCTGAAGTTTTAGCGAGACCTTGAGACGTCTTCTGGCAAGTCCGAGTTGTGAACATGTAAACCTTTAGTATTAGCAGGATTCAACTGTTTAGTGTATAACACTCCAAGGGGTTATGAACAACATTTAGCTCCAAGGGTGCACTTTCGAGTTCCCCAGGAATCGCTGCCAGCAGCTGCTTCAGCGATTGCAACAAAGCCAAGGCCAAAGCCAGCGAGAAGGCTCCCAGGCCCAATACCGTAGACCTGGGATTTTCCTGTATCGGGCTTTATTGTGGGGTTGGATATCAGGGCTTTAAGGGGCTCGATATGGGCTCTGTGTTAACCCCACAAATTCCGATGCACCTATATAGTAGGGTTTCCATATCAGGAATTACTCCTATGGTTTAAATTTGTGTTGCGGAGCTCAAGGTGCACCGGCTGCAGTCTAGGCGCTGTTCTTCGAAGTTGCCTGTTGAGATTCATATTGCTGTAGGGGTGTATGGGTTCGATTTCTAGACGGACCTTAGGTGACGTGACTGCCTCCGTTCTCAATGAGATTTCTTCATGTGGAATGGCGCCGCTACACCTGGCCGTGGCGACCAGCCGATTTGACATTGCCTCCTTGTTGATGGATCGTGCTGCAGATGCGAATGTTCGAGATGCGCGGCAGCGGACTCCACTGCATGTCGCAGCCCTCACCCCGAACGCTCGGCTTGTGGCTGCCCTAGCATAGCATGCATGTGAGACTGCAGGTGTGTTTGGCCGTGGTGAATCAACCGCTGGTCCAAGGTCCAAGAGTTGCTGAGTCGTCGCGCAGACCCCTTTTGTGCCACTGAGCTGGGGACCGGGCAAAGGGCAGCGAGCAAAGGCTTTTCGGCAGTTGTCATTTATTGGGTCTCTCCGAATCCTCATCGGGCAGTGGGCAGTGTAAGCTAGAGCTTGAGTTTTGACAGACAGGAGGACACCACTGGACATGGCCCGGGATGTGAACTGCGTGGGATCGGTCCGTGCCCTTGAAGGGGCCTCAGCCTTGTGGCAAGGCCCTGTGGATGCTCAGTCTTTCAGCAAGTCATGTTTGACCTTTTTGGGTCCCCAAGAATTTCATTTCCCCGGCAGCAGACAGATAAGCTGCAAATCCGAAAACCAACTCAGGATGCTTTTCAGCCAAAGATGCTCGTCATCCCTTCATGGTCGCCCAAGTGGCTGGTTGTGAGCTGACGGCAATGGAAGGGCTTCTTCTTCGAAATGCAGCGGCTGAGCCGTGTGGAGCCACTCCCCGGATGTAGTCTGCTGAAGCTCCGATCTCTCCTCCTTTGTTCGAATCTCCCTCACACCCAATTCCAGCCGGCTTGGGCTCGTCACCGCTGAAAGCTTGAACCCTTATGTACCCCTCTGCTACAGCTCTTTACAAAAACTTACAACCCCATACTACCCCTTTTTGTTAATCTCTAAAGTGCCAGGTTCTGCGTGACCGCAGGCACAACACTGGCCCCAGCTTTTTTGCCAGGCCGCGGACTGGCCGAGGGTGGTGTAGGGTTTAGGGTTGAGATTGGGGCTATGAGCCGTAGTTGAAGAGGAATTGGCGAATATCTCATACGTACATATGTACATGCATACACACATGTCCGGTTTGACCTACGTATGTGTATACATCTACACATGACCAGAATCGAAGAGAGTATGCTAGGCCTTGGGACGTCCTGAGCTTTGCCAGCTTTGCTTGAGGTTCCAACCCACCAGCTTAAGGCTTAGAGCCCTAGCATTGTGTGGTCAGGGCCTACTATTTTGCAAGGCTGCAGGCTACAGGTAGGGGATTAAATGGTTGCATGCGTTGCTGTCGCTAAGTCTGTGGCACGTATCACTTTGGATACGTTGGGTTATCTTCTTCGCGAAAACTAGCGGGAATGCTGGGCTATCTAGCGGCTAACAAGGTTTTCGAAAGGAAAGGATGCATGCGAATGAAACCTGCGACACGAGTATGATGCACAATGCAACCATTATATGGCTAGCGCTAGAATGCTCATCATCCCGGAAAGAGTAGACGAACAATAATCCGAGTGTGAGTGCTGACCGACAGGGGCGATGTGCACAACGTTTTCAAAAAGGCGCAGAACTTGATGCGGGACAATCTTGTTGGGCCTGATGCCGCCCATCAGTGTCCACACTGCTACAAGACCAATGCCATTCCCGACTTCGTTGAGAGCTTTCCTTGCTGCGTGTCTGCAGTCAGGTCATCATTTCCCAGATGTGGCGATGTTTTGGCCTGCTCGGGAAGCTTTCTTGATTGGACGATGGCATCCCCAAACCCCCAAACACAGCTACTGACTGAGGCAGTCATTGTGGCCGAATGCTGTCGGTGCCCGCGTCGCTGCAGCTGGCACTCTATGACTACACACAGGTAGGCCGCAGAAAAGACTTTCAGCTTTTGCGGACTACAGCAAGGTACCCCTGTAGCCCGGTATGGACCCTGACCACAAGCGACTGAAGCCCTGCCGGTATACCTTGTGACCGTTGTGACCCCAACCGCGAACCGAACTCACAACAAGGTGCATGTCAGCTGCAGGACCCCCAAACCTAAACCCCTCAACATTGAACCCTGGACATGGAAGCCAGGGTGTGCCGGACGCCCGGCCCATGGCAGTGCTGCCGCTGCCGCAAGACGCACGGGGTATCCATGTGAAGTCGCTGGAGGAGCCCACGGCGCAGCCTGCAGGCTCGCCCCAGCCCCTGGTCCTTCAAGCGTGAAAGCCTACAAGTAACCTCCAGTCTTTGGGTTTTGAGGGTTGTCCAAGGGTTAGCAGCTCGCAGGTTGAAGGGTTCGGTGGTGGAGGGGGAAAGAACTTCGTATCTCACACCGGCCTGAGGGAAGTGGCCCCGTCGACCATATAGGACATTGGGAACGCTGTGGCCCCACAAACCCTTACCCCAAAGGCTCTGCACACTGCTCCAGCCCTAAACACACAAACCCCCCATCACACCAAAGTCTGCACCTTACTGTATCAATTTGTATAGCACCGAAACCTCCCACCATAAAGTCCCTGGCCCATGGTCAGGTTGGCTTCGACAAAAGTTGGGAGGCTGGGACACCTTCGTCAGAGGATTCTGTCGCCCAGCCAGTCGTCTGCAGTGACAAGGATAGTTCTCTTCGATATTGGTTAGCGATGCACACAGGCATCTGCTCAGGCATGTTTACAATATGCAGCTACCACCGCGCGGACAATCACTCTTTTTTGGACATGTGCATAGCTCCTCAGGTCAGGACGGAAACAGACAACACAAACACATGCACAGGCAGATGCGCCCACACATACATACCTGCAGGCAATATAATCATGCTGGCATACATAGATACTTATGCATGCATGCCTGTGGGTGTATGCATATATACGTACACCGTGTATGCATAATATGTGTTCAGTTTATCCCTCGGTGTAGGGCAAGTCTGGATTTAAAAGCAGTGAGCGAACGAGACCATTCATCAACGAGGATGGAAGCGGAGGATATGCATGCACAAACTGGCGTCACATAACCGCCACCCTGGAATGGACAAGCCCACTCATGCAGGCATGCGGTGCTGTGGCTGTTTGGCGGTTGCGTGCCTATTCATCTCACAGGTTACTCACTGATCTTGCCAAGTGTCTGGCATCCGTTTTTGGTGTGCCGGCTTGTGTTTCACGTGTTTCACATCTGATGCATACCGGCATTGCCGATGCAGGCTCCAGTTTCCTGGCAGGTCTTGGCCTCACATCTTCGCGGAACCACGGATTCTCAGTGAGGGTGGCGGCCTCTGCCCATGCCAATGAGGCGACTTGGGATTTGAGGCGCGACAGGGACCGATCTTGCTGCACTTGATATGGCATCCTCGCTGCAAGCCTCGCCCGTAAATGTGGTAAAGATGTTAGCTTACAGCCACAACTCGAATCCCGGCAGGTTCGCGACATCTTTGGAGTGCGCACAAGCTCGGAGTGCTGTGGCGTTTTCCCAGCGTTGCCCCAGGCAAGGAGCATGAAGGATTTCATTGCATGGCCGTAGACGTGATAGCAAAGGATAGCACATTGTGGGATGGCAGGAGTTTGATCCTCAAAGAGATTTACGACCGAATGCTCTTGGACTTGAGCGCGCCGCAAGAGGAGGCAAGAGCGACGAGCGAGTCCACCTGTCCATATTTATGTCTCCATGTACTGGTACGAGGAGCTACCAATCCCCTCCGCGCCCCCGGCAGACGAAGGGGAAGAAGCTCCTGCAGTTGCAGCTTCGATGCACGGCGACAGGCGATGAGTGATGGTAAATGGTTCAATCGCATCATCGAAGGCACCACCGCCTCCAGAGCCTCGACACCAGGCCTCACACTCCCCTGCTCCGGCTCAGGCACCAGTTGTGCAAAAGTCAGACGTGCGCCGTTTTGCATATCTTCCGCCTTCGAAGGCACCACCTCGAGAACCTCCGCACCACGCTGCGCAAACTCCTCCGGCTCAGGCATCAGAGTCCGATGTGTACGGCCGCCGTTAATTGTTTGACATTTGACAGCCTTTGTCCTGCCAGCGGCCATTAGCAGGTCATCAGCCAAGACGACCAGGAAAGACCCGAGCAAGACGACGGCATGTGCGTCGAATCTTGGCACACTTGTTTCCTGAGTTTTGGAATTCAGCTTCCCGTCAAATCATTAAGGTGTGCCTGGAGCGTCGCGCTGATACGGCGGTCGTGCCATGTCCTGCTCCCAGTTGATGTGATTATGTAGGAAACTGCATGTAGGCAGAAAGACAGAGTGAGCATGAGGTGTCCAGGACCCGTCGCCGCTCTTGTAATTGTAGCCTTTCGCCATCTCCGTGAACGGTTCACCACTCCTTAAGATCTGGGAGTTGATGTTCAGCCGGTCATGCACCAGTGGCGCATACGGCCACATCGTCAGACGCTTCGACAGTCATGACATAAGCAGTTGCATCGGTATAGCAGCAGTGGCGGCTCCAGTCAGCAGTGGCATCAGGCAACAACCACCAGCACCAATGCCACCTTCACAGCTGGCGGTGCCGCCACTACCCTCACCACCACCACCACCACAACTGCGGCCGACGGAATCACCACCGGCACTGCGCAAACGTCGACGACAGCAGAAAGTAACAACAAGGGCGAGGACCAGGACGAGACCGACGAGGAGGACGACCGATGACACTGGGGGTGTCGACGACGAGAAGTACAAAGTCGCGAGCACAAGCAACGGCAACTGCAGAACAGCACCAACACGCAGCTAAAAACGAAACTACTAGACTTGCTGGACCTGTAGGGTCAATTCAAGTGGCAAAACCTGGACGATGACATCCTCCGCGACTTGCTCAATGACGTGCATCGTGATGTAACATTACAAGGGTAACATCTGAGCAAGCCTGCGTGCACTGATGATATGGGCGAGACTGGTGCAGAAGACCCGACAGCTAGAGCATAATGTCCGTGAAGATGCAGCACTTGCAGCCATCTGTGTTTTGTTGTTTGTCTCTTTGCACTTCTTGTGGCTGAGGTGGCCACTTATGCCTTTGCCAAAACTGTGTAGCCGATGTCATGGGCCAGCCGCACAGATGCGATTAATGCAACTTTACAGTGCTTGGTCGAGCCTATAAGTTACTTTGGGTTTGGGTCGAGTTTTCGAGCTCGTTGATGCCAGACCTGTGTTGGCCGAATTTAGCCGACAACCAAGGAAGCTGTGTCCAATGTGCCGCAACGAAGCTTCCTCCACCGTGCGCATTTATCGTTCCTGAGCCGTTTGGTATGTGTGCGGCTAACGGCTAACCGCCAGCTTTACCCACTGCGTTGCGGCGAGAACAGCTTTCAGAAGCTCGTGCTCTTGTGCGCAGCAGGGTCGGCTCTCAGGTAGCGGTCTTGTACAGTCTGGAAGACCCAGCTACGGATTTGGGCCAATGAGAAAGAGCCGGGTGTTGGCATGTCGAAGGTTGCTGAGTGCTCCAGCCGAGTCACCGGGATTGGCTTCCCGAGGATCCCGAAGTGAGGTCCTGAAGACCCCCTCGCGGAGTTTGATGCCGTAGATGAGTATAGGATTCGAGGGCTCTGCTGATCTCTGCTGCACATTTTTGGGGCATGCAGGGTGTCGAATTGAAGTCAGACCTTTATGAATCCACTCGGTGTTAAGTTTTTGTTGGGGAGGGGTGAGATGTCGAGCCGTTGCAAGGCGTGCTTGGCCCAGGTTTCCCAAACGCAGCAAGAGACCCTGAGCCCACGGCACCCCAGGGCCCAAGGCACGAGGCAGCGTCTGGATCAATTGAGACACACCCACAAGATGACGAACCTTTCTTGCCCCCTCCGAAAACCCAACCGTCTTGAAAAATAAGCGCCATTGTCCAGACCAAGCATGAAGCACCATTGATTCTAGACCATGAAGCTTCTGGTCTTGGACCTTGCTCCTTCTCGAAAGCTGTCCCGCTAGTAGAGGAGATTAAAGGAAGCTATTCCAAGGAGATGGAAAGGATCTCTACAGCTGTTGGCAGAGATGGAGGTGGGCTCGGTCGGTCTCTGCTAACTGCTGGCTGAGGGATGCGCGAGAAGGATCGTGCCTTGAGCTTGGGACTTGGGAGATGTTGCGGGATTCTGCTTAAGGGGAGACAAGGACGAAGAGTAGCCCTTCTGTGAATATGTACAGCTCTAAGCCTCCAAGCATCTGCGGAGTTTGTGTTGGCTTGCGAGGTTTCGAAGAGGGGCCTTGATGTGTTAATCCAGGCAGCCGGAAGTGCGCCACTCCCGATACCACGAAGGAGCCCCAAGCAAGTGTCAACGCATGTTATCCGACCAAGAGATCTTCTTGGCCTGCACGGGACATTCCCGGAAGTGGGAGGCAGAAATCCGGCCTGGCAACCTGACACCCGAAGCCCTCCGCAGCTGGGCGCTTGTAACATTACTCGGCTCACAAAGGAGAATGCCATTCAAAAGTCCTGGTGAAGCCAGGAGGCCAAGGTAGAGGCGGATGCAGTCAGCTATGAGGCGGCTGTGCAGGCAGTGGCAGCGGTTAGGTGAGAGCAAAATCAATTTGCATAGTCTTCCCTCATTCTTGATAGGGACATCAGAGAGATGCGCCACATGATCTTTGGGCGAGAGCTTATAAGGTTTAAGGGTTCACGGTTGGTCTAAAGAATTTATGAAGTAGGGGCCCTGATGGGACGTTGCTTTTGGGCAAAGTGTTGCATTCTTGGGGGCAGGGGTGGTGTGCCTAGTTTTTGTTGTTTGTGGTGGCGGCTTTTCGGGGTAATACCTCCGGGATCCTTTATGGTGGGATAAAGCAGCACAAGAACAAGATCCAGCCATCCCACAATGCGGAACCTGCAAGGTTTGTCCCACATAGAGTTGTTTGCCGAAGTTAGGGCAGATGGGGATGTTCAGGCTCAGAAGCCTTCATCCCCGAATCGCTGAGTAAGGAACGCTGCATTGCCTGAAGTCCGCAACACTCAAGCCTTTCACCCGAAACCGTTCAAACCCGATAGCAGTACCGCACCGTCAAAACGGTTGAGTTCGAAACGCCAAGTCTTACCGTCCCCAACCCCCCTTTCGTTTTGCCCTTGATAGACCTCGCCTGAGTTGTCCGAGCTATGAGAGCGTAACTAAACTCAGAAGCCAGTGAGTGCCGCAACCCTAAACCCCTTGGAGCCCTAAACCCTAAGTCCCAAACCAAACCCTAAAGGGGAGGGAAAAAAAAACCCTAACCCCAAAAGCCCGAAACAAAAAACAGCCGGCAGACCTGTGAGCTGGGCGGCCAACCTGGGCCAGCGGCACTGGTGCTCGGGCTTTGTCAATCTCGGTCTTGGCTCCTTGGAAGGCTCGGGGGGCTCTTCTCGAAAGTCTTTCGGTTAGAAAAACCGGTTACGAAGGGGCTCGGAATAATTACTAGACGTGTCTTCTGCTGGCACCTTTTAAGTGTTTATATGGATCTATATGCCCCAAAACTCTACTCTAGTTTCCAATCTTGGTTTGGCTGGGATTTTACAGAGGACTTACGGTTTCGCGTGAGTCTCTGAGCCTTTTTGCAGCCTAGGGCTAACCAGACGCGTTTAGGTTCGAAGGGGGTCTCCGAGATCATGACTTGGGTTTGTAAGTGTTGGAGGTCATTGACGCTTGGCTTTTCACGTTCAGTGCTTGGGCTTAGGATTCAGAGGGCCTGCGTGCTTCGGGAGCCATGGCTGTGCTGACCTGATGCTTGAAATGTTCCGGGGGTCTTAGGCTCTATATATGTAGGTTGTGGTTCTGCGTGCTTTCGGTGTTTCGAACAAGGTTCGCCCAGTGAAGAACCTTGAAAGCCCCAGAGCAAAAGAAGTGTCGAGGCCTTGAACCCTAGCCTAAGACGAGGGGTTAAGTGGGGATGCGCTAGCAGCGTTTTGAAGAACTTGCGGGAGGTATTCCTCAGGGCTCCCTTTCAAGTATAAGCGTATCATCATGAGATGATGTTGACCTCAGTAAAGGCCGAACCCCTACTCTAATCAGTCATGAAGGCCCCCTACGGTATTTTTGTTGCTTAATGTTTCGTGTCCACCTCGCTTCTCCAGGCAGGAGGCCTCCTCCCTTCTACGACGCTTCATACAGATAGAGGACCCTTAGGCAAAGACGACCCTCGACCCTAACCCATCTTTATAAACTCCATAAACTCCTCAAGCCCTGTTTAAGGGGCGTGTTGGATTCTCTAGGCTCCTCAAGGCTGGTGCTGAACTCGAGGTTTGTGTTCTTTTGGGGGACCCTAAACCCTAAACCCGTTTTTGGGGCCCCAGCGGCAGGCCGCAATGAAAGGAAGGACCACTTGCGCACCCGCTGCCGAAGACGGGAGCCTGCCTCTCGTCGCAGCTACCAGCGATCCCCCCAAGAGACAAGCCACGGGCCTAAACCCTACAAACTTTACGAATTCTTGTGATTATATGTAGGTTTATGTGACACAGGCATCCAAACCGGGCATCTCCCAACGCTTTGGGCTGCCAAGGATTGACCCGGCAAATCGGCACGCACATTGATGCAATATGCAGTTCTGAAAGACTTCAAGGATGAGTTCGGCTTCTTTTTCGAAGATTCGCGACCAACTTTGACTGCCGAGAGAATGGAGTATATCTTGCAGCGATGTCGCTCTGCGAGCACTCTAGCCGGCTGCATTTGAGAATGCTATGGGCCGCCTCGCCTTGACCCTCCAGAAGTGCAAGGAATTCTTCGGGGTTCGGGGATTGTCGGAAGTGCCGTACATCAACGGCAGCTTCCTTTCAGAGTCGTCAAAAGGAGCCCGTCAGACAAAGTCGACGAAGAGCAAGAAACGGACCAAAGCTCGGAAGTTCAACAGAGCGCGCTTCGACCGTGCTGTTCAAGCGGCAGAGCTGAAGAGTGTGGCTTTGGTTGGAGCCGGAATCTCGGAAGAGGGCGCAAGGAGAAGGAGATCGACTCAAAGGGCTTCGCCGATGCGGAAGAGGGTCAGAGGCTTTTTGCGCGCAACTTCCACGACAGGCTTCATGATCGTGGCCTCGAAAGTTGCCTGAGAAAGGATGTAAGGAGCGATCCTGCTGCGCAGCTAGGTATTCCAAGCAGGCCTTGCATGTACTTGAAGCAATAGGCTCCGAGTGCTAAGAAGGGCCCGAATCGGGCCGTGGGTGGAAAACGGCTTATCGTTCTACGGATTCGGCAGCATCTTGATGCATGGAGTGCTCTGAGAGTCAGTGAATGAGGATGCTGGCCATGAGTTCCGGAAGCCAGGTCTCTACCGGACACCGAAGCTGGGCACTGCGACCCATCGTCGAGGTGAAGTACGACCCGTCGAAAAAGAAAGTCTATCGGGAGCGGGGCGGTGGTCAGATCGTGGTGTCGACCGAGGCAGCTGCGATCACCGGCATCATCATTCAGCCCAACTCTCCGCCAATGAAAGGGCAGGAGAGGAGTGACAGCTGGAATGCCCAGCTGGAGTGTTGAACGGGCGAGAAGGGGCGTGAATCGCTGACTGTCAGGTTTCAGAAACGAGGACGCCTGCATAGCGGCCTTCAAAAAACTCAACCTTTGCACGAGTTGCCCAACGGTCGGGGGCAAATGGCCGTGTAATGATGGTTTGCTTCCTCGACTTGGACCGGGTGTTCTGGGCGCAGCTTTTCGCCCGGGCCATGCGAGGAAAGACGACAAAATGTTGAGCGAGTGCCGGATGATCCTCTCAAGCTGCTACTGTATCAGTTTGCCGAGTGCATGTTCGATGTCTACCGTATCGCCGATGCAGGCGCCGCAATAGCTAGAATCGGCTGTTGGGGTAGTTGCGGTGTCTATATTCATGAGGCTTCTACATCAGTGAGCTCGGCTTTCGATCCGAAAGCCTCAAGCTCCGAGCCCAGCCCAACAGAGCTGCTACCACTTAAGCCTGTAAAGCCGGATTCCCCAAGCCCCAAACAGGACTAAAGCATGGAGCGGAACGGCCGGAACTCCAGTATGAGGGTTCTGTCAGCCAGCCCTGCTCGGAAGGCTTGCGCAGTAAGCCTCATGCCTGCCAATTTTTGCAAGGTCGAACCTGTGGGAGCCCTTTGCTGTGGAGCCCAGGGCTTGGCGCCGGGGACGAGCCGGCTCAGGGTTCTGGGCGTAGGGTTGAAGATGGTGTGGGCTTGGGCTTGGGCTTGGGCTTTTGGGTGTCGAGTTTTTTGTTGGGCAGGGCCGAGGTTGTGTGAGTGTTTGTAGACTAGGTTCCCGTGTTTGGGCCGCCGAGATAATTCCTCACTCTGCGCATGGCGTAAAGACCATATAGCACAGGAAGCATTTCTGCTGGCAACTTGCAACATACTCGCACATGACTTCAGACATACAGACAGGCAGGCAGAACCATACATGTATATGGACGTGTGTGTATATACATATAAAGATAAATACATATACATACATATATATATATAGATAGAGACATAGACATAGACATTGACATAGACATAGACATAGCCATAGCCATAGCCATAGCCATAGCCATATGCATATGCACATGCACATGCATACATACATGCACCTACCTACACGCATGCACAGATGCACCAGCAAACTAAAAACAATCCTGCATAAGACGGGCAGACAGACGGATGAGCAGACAGTCGGACAGACAGACGCACACATATACACTGTGCCCTTTATGATTGTCAGCCTCCAACCCATCACCGACACGCACGTTCGCAAAACACCTCTGAGCCGCGACGATGCACCTTAAACCTTACGAATAATTCCGGCGATGTCCTCCCGCGGCTATGGCGACAAAGCCACTAGCGAAGATGCCTCCTTGGGAAAGAGGCTTTCCGAGGCCGCCTTAGTTGGCGAACTCGGGATTTGGGGGGTGGTTGAGGTTGGCCTTTGAGGGTCAAGCAGGGCCTGAGGTTTTCGGGTTCTTCAAAGGTCCATGCCTACCCTGATGAATGATCACTGTGCATTCCTAGATGGTGAGTTGCTGGTGTGAGCAATAGCTGCACATAGGTGTAGGTTTTGCCTCTAGGGTGTCTCCGTTGCCGGCATCGGACATAGCGATCTTAGACTGTCTCCTTTATCCGGCCTTCCCACTGCTAAGACTGGGCCTTTCTGGCTTCGCAAAACAGATTCTTGGTCTCTCCAGGCTTGAGGAAGCACAGGCTTTCTCAGGAGAACATGTGTCATCACTGGAAGAGCCAGCAAAGGATGACTTCAGGGAACCCTTATAGATTATATATGAACCTGTAGAGGAACCTTCTTGGCGTGCGACGTTGGAAGAGATCAGGCCTGGCATCTGCCAGTACTGCAGTAACTTAGGAGCCGTAAAAACTTCCTCCTGGTTATAGTTATAGTACAATATATACCCCAAAACCATACTTCTATTTATTAAGGCCCTGACACTATGGAGATGATTCTTGTTCCCCAACTAGGGGTGTTCGGGCTGAGCCTTATGAGCAGTAATCGTTTTCTGATTGGGCTGGTGATGTATTGAAGATATAGGGATGAAGATACTGGTTTAGGATCTAGAATCTAGAATCAAACCGCTTTCGGTTGCCACCTGAAGCCATAAACTTTCTAAAGTTTGGCAGTGTTAAGCACTAAAGCCTAATTGACCTCTGGGTGTTGTTGAGCCCAAACCCCAAGCACTAGGAATGTAGCCGTCAGCGGAGGCCGTTGCGGCCAGCGCGCAGGGGGGCGACGCGTCGAACCAGGCAGACCGTTTCTATTTAGGGCTTCAGTAGGGTTCAGAGGGAACCCTTTTTGAATCAACAAAATACCCTTCAGAACCCCGACGATGACCCCAAGTACAGGTTGTACCAGCATGGAAGACCTCCCAGCCACCCTTCATTCTAGCCTCAAGAGGCCCTGGTACATACCCAAAACCCGCTTTGGATTCCGACCCTTTCTGTATAAATCCCGACTACCCTGTTGCCTTTGACACAAAGCCTTTAACCTTTATGGTATATATCCCTACGACCCGTCACTGGCCGCCTTTTTCCAGGACGCGCTCAGCCACGACGGGTTGACTCTGCTAGGAGCTCTGAAGGTGCGGGGGGCCTTACCCTAAGAACGAGTAAGGAGGTTTAGGGTTCATAGGGCTGCCTTAAGAAAGAGAATTCGCAAGAATAGGCATAGACGTGGTAGTAGTAGTCGTCGTCATCCTTGTCGTGGAACTAGTGGCAGTAGTCGTAGTACTAGTCGTAGCAGTAGCAGTAGAAGTGGCAGTAGCAGTAGCAGTAGCAGTAGCAGTAGCAGTAGCAGTAGTTGTAGTAGCAGCAGCAGCAGCAGCAGTAGTAGTAGGCACCCCCCCCCCTACCAACTACACTAGCTCTTAGCCATGTTAAGACAACGTCCATTTTACTCGGTATTTCCAGCACTTTCG